CAGAATGGTGCCGACAAGCTGATTTTGGGTGATTCTTATCATTTATACAGATAGTGGCCCCGCAAAAACCATTTGCACAGGGCCCCGCTTACGCCAGATGATTGCCGGCCACTTCTGGGCATCGCTTCTCACTTCTCGTGGGGATGGGAGCATCTCCCTGGAGGCCCCTTTGCAAAGGCCAAGCGCTGGCCAAAGGCACACCACTGGACGCATTTCCTTCCTTCTCGGGAGATGACCAGGAATGGAGGATCCAAAGGGGGTCCTGGAGGGAGGACGGAAAGGGCATCTCCGGATCTGGGCAGCCCCAGGGCTGCCGGCTCCCCGAGGAGAATACGAGTTGGGGGCGAGGAGCTGGAGGGGAGGTCAGGGCGCGCTTCAAACCTTGGCTTCTCCACCCCAGCCCCAGCCCGCGGGCTATCTCTCCGGCTTCTCTCTCGGGTTATGTAACCCCGGGACGGGACGTGGCAGCTGGGTGAGTGAGCGAAGGAGTAGGGGAGGGAAGGGAAAGGAGAGGAGGGGCGGGGCCGGGGTTGGTGATGGTGGTGGGAAGCGCCGTCACGCCGCCTCTTTTTGGGCCCCTTGAGTTGTCTTTCAGGAGGATTACGGGACCAGCCCTCTCCCCAGGCGCTGGGTCGGCCCCCAGCCCCGCCCGCCGCCTCATTTTCCCTTCATTCTTTTCCCTCTTCTGTCCCACCTGCCCTGCCAGGGGGCCTCTGGCTCTGGATAGCTTTTCCTCTCGGGTTGTAGTTTCCTTCCCAAAGTTCTCAGCTTTGCTACCTCGCCCAAGTCAATTAGCCGCTCTAAGCCTCAGTTTACCAGTTTGTAAAATGAAGTTTGAGAGGCCACGTGCAAAAGTCCTGGCATAGCGCATGGTACAAAGTAGATGCCTGCTGCGGGCTGAGGGCCTCAAGGGGCTAAGTGAAATGGTGTGTGCCAGGCGGGGTGTCAGAGCCCCGGCAGCGCAGCTAGGAGTGGTTGGCTCCCGGGTGGTAAAAGAATTTACCAATAGCAGTATAGGTTTGAAAAGTTTTATTAGATGGAAAGAACCCCGCAGCAGAGCACAGCAGGGCGCTTCAACAAGAGAGGCCTGAGTTCACTTGCAGGGAACTGAAGGGTAATTTTGACCACATTAGTTATGTAAGTCATAGTAAATGATATTCTGAGTTCCTCAGATAAGGGGCTTTGCCTCCTGATGGTCTGCTTAATGACCACCAGGTGATCCTTGCTCTCCTCATTTTCCCGCTGATAAATATTTTTGGCAAATCTTTGACCCTTTGTATTTCTCCATGCTCACGTCTACTTGTCTGTTAGGATCCCAAGAAAGGGAAAATGGCACAGTGAAGAGGGGTGTCCAGTCTGTCTGGCTACTTCCTGCTGAAAAGGGGCGTTGAAAGGATTAGTTGCATTTTTCCCTTTCCTGCTTTCTGTCATGAAGGGAATGAAGGGTCATGAAAAACTTGTTCGTGGAGGGAAGGCCAGATTCCAGAAAGAGGACCCATGAAAATGGAAGTTGCTGTTGCAGGCTGGTATTGGGATTGCATAGTCATCTGTAGGTGGAATCATTATAAGCTGGAAGATATAAGTGTTAAAAGGCAGGAATTACAGGCATGCACCTCTGTGCCCACAAATTTTTGTGTTTTTAGTAGAGACGGGGTCTCACCATGTTGGCCAGGCTGGTCTCCAACTCCTGACCTCAGGTGATCAGTCTGCCTCGCCTTGGTCTCCCAAAGTACTAGGATTACAGGCGTGAGCCACCATGTCTGGCCCCAGGGTTTCAATTTGTATATTTATGCATGGCCTCCACCAGTCTAGCTTGGAAAAGGGCAGGGCTTTCAGATAGTTCCATACATACAAAATTATTATTTCTTTTTATTTTATTTTATTTGAGACAGAATTTCGCTCTTGTTGCCCAGGCTGGAGTGCAGTGGTGCAATCTCAATTCACCGCAACTTCCACCTCCCAGGTTCAAATGATTCTCCTGCCTCAGCCTCTGGAGTAACTGGGATTACAGGCATGCACCACCACGCCTGGCTAAATTTGTATTTTTAGTAGAGGCGGGGTTTCTCCATGTTGGCTAGGCTGGTCTCAAATTTCCGACCTCAGGTGACCCACCTGCCTCAGCCTCCCAAAGTACTGGGATTACAGGTGTGAGCCACCACGCCCAGCTATTGTTTCTTATGATTTAGAAAACTTAACAGGTTTTATTACATATTTTTTTCATTCCTTCCAACGGAGAAATTACCATATGATCCTGTCTACCCCTACCTCTGTTTGGGCTAGCATTGGCGGCCTGGTATTGCCAATAGGTTCTGTGCTGGGGATAGCTTCTGCCCAGCTCTGTTATTAGGATTGGGAGCATGAGTTTCATCTGCCCACGCTAAAGACTACATGTGTGAATTTTGTGTGTGTGTGTGTGAACAGCAGGTAGTTAATACCACCAATACATCTTGCCAGGTTAAATCAAAGGTGACAGTTAAAGTCCGAAATTATTGAATGAACTTAGAGGGATTCTGACTAAATGAACCAACTTGGATTGAATTTGCAAAAGATCAGACATGATCAGAAAAGGGACATGAACTCGACTTGTTCCCAAATCTTCATTAGCCATCTCAGCAAGAGGCAAAGTATTTTGGGGATTTCTCTGAGGACTCTGTGCTGGTAGCATGTGTGACTCCCCTGAGAGTATGTGAAGGGAAGAAAGTATTTGGGTATGTGGGTGGGAGATTGACTAGGGAATGGAGCAGATGGAGAGGGTGTAGGTGAAGAGTGAGCAGGTTGAGGAGGTATAATAGGCAAAAGGAAGGATCATCTAAGACATCAGAATCGGGGAGGGAGGAAGTTCCTTGGAAGCATACATGACAATTTTTATGTAATTTTGGGTTTGGGTTTGGGGATAAAGCAAAAAAGACCTGAACATATGGGACTTCTGAATCCTTTCCAAGGTTCCAGCAAAAAATCAGTTAAGTTGTAAAATAACATTGCAATCCAAAGTTTCATTAATTGGCCAAATTGATTGATTAGGGAGCTTGTATTGAACCCAAGCAATATTACAAACAAAGTATTTGCTTTTTAAAATCTTATTTATTTTTTATTTTTATTTTTTGAGACAGAGTCTTGCTTTGTTGCCCAGGCTGGAGTGCAGTGGCGCCATCTTGGCTCACTGCAACCTCCGCCTCCTGGGTTCAAGTGATTCTCCTGCTTTGGCATCCGGAGCAGTTGGAATTACAGGCGCTCATCACCACGCCCAGCTAACTTTTGTATTTTTTTTTTTTCTTTAGACGTTGTTTTGCTCTTTCGCCCAGACTGGAGTGAAGTGGCACTCCAGTTGGCCCACTGCAACCTCCGTCCCCAGGTTCAAGCGATTCTCCTGCCTCGGCCTCCGGAGTAACTGAGATTATAAGTGCCCGCCACCATGGCCGGCTAATTTTTTTTTTTTTTTTTTTTTTTTTTTTTTTTTTTTTTTTTTATGGCTGCTAATTTTTTTTTTTTTTTTTTTTTTTTTTTTTGGGGACTTTTGTATTTTTAGTAGAGACAGGGTTTTGCCATGTTGGCCAGGCTGATCTCGAACTTCTGACCTCAGGTGATCCACCCGCCTCGGCCTCCCAATTTGCTGGGATTACAGGTGTGACTCACTGTGCCCAGCCAATTTTTGTATTTTTAGTAGAGTCGGGGTTTTGCCATGTTGGTCAGGCTGGTCTTGAACTCCAGACCTCAGGTGATCTGCCTGCCTTGGCCTCCCAAAGTGCTGGGGTTACAGGCATAAGCCATTGTGCTCAGCCTTATATGCTTATTTTTAAGAGTTTGTGGGTCAAAATGAGACCAATGGGACTATTTTTAAGGAGGCAATCCAAGGATGAGTTGGATGGAACTGAATTAATTGAACCCATGTTGGGTTTAGACAAGGAACTACAAGATCCCTGAGGCATCCCTGTGTAGAATTGAGATCAACCGCTTCCAGGACAAGGCTTATGGAGTGTTAAAATGAAAGTGCCTTGCCACTTTGACGGGCAATAGCTCTTTCGTCTTGGCCTTGGGTTAACACTGGGGGATGGCCCTTGGCCAGAAACTGTCAATTGCCAAGCTGAGAACTCAAGCTGGTTCACTGGCAGTCTGAAAACAGAAAAGAGCCCCAGCCAGTCCCTCACCCCTAAGGGCAAGGACAGCCAGGTATCCCTTCTCTAGGGCTTCAGGATCCCACCAAAGAGCTGTTCCCCGTCACTTCCCCAAAGAGTAAACAATCAGACCGTGGAAGGAAGCAGAGAGAAAAAGGAAGAGGGAAATCCCAGTGAAGTCCCCGTATGGGCCACCAAGATGCCAGGCGAGGTGTCAGAGCTCCGGAACCGGGGAGTGGTTGGCTCCCGGGTGGTAAAATAACTTATCAACAACAGTATAGGTCTGAAAAGGAAAGTTTTATTAAATGGAAAGGACGCTGCAGCAGAGCGCAGTGGGCGCTTCAGCAAGAGAGGACTGAGCTCCCTGCGGGGAACTGCAGGGTAATTTGGACGACATTAGTCACTTAGGTCATGGTAAATGGTTACATTTGTCTATATTTTGGCGCCTTGATGTCAGCAAAGGTTGCACAATGGGTCTTAACGTGCACGCATTACAGAAATGTACAGACATTCCAGTTACTTATAAATTCTTGGGAAGGAAGCTTGGCACCAGACGTGGCTTTAGACAATAGGGAAGTGTCATGCTGAATTCCTCAGATAAGGGGCTTTGCCTCCTATTAGTCGGCTTGATGGCCACCAGGTGATCTTTGGTTTCTTCAGTGTAGCTTTGTAGACTGTAAAGGCGCAGCGCGCCAGTGAGGCTGGTTAGCCCCAGACGGCCGAGAGGAAGGGCAGAGTCGGCGGTCCCGAGACCTGGGGCGGCCCCTTGGAGGTCAGCCCCGCTCGCTCCTCCCGGCCCTCTCCTCCTCTCGGAGGTCCGAGGCGGGCAGCGGGCTGTGGGCGGGCAGGAGGCTGCGGAGGGGCGGGAGGCAGGAAGGGGCGGGGGGCTCGGCGCACTCGGCAGGAAGAGACCGACCCACCACCCGCGGCGGCCCGCGCGCCCCTTCCACTGAATCCCCGCCATGTGGGGGCTCCTGCTCGCTCTGGCCGCCTTCGCGCAGGCCGTCGGCCCGGCTCTGGGGGCGCCCAGGAACTCGGTGCTGGACCTCGCACAGCCCGCGACCACCAAGGTCCCAGGCTCGATCCCGGCCACGAACAGCAGCCTGGCACAGCTGCCGGTGGAGACGGCTAACGGTGAGTTCCCCGACCGCGGGTCCGCTCCCCCACAAGCCGACTGCCCGGCTTCCCTGCCCCGTCGGGCGACCCTTCCCTAACACACGCGGGAACACGCACACTCACACCCCCACACACGTACACTCACACTCATCCCACACGCATACTCGCACCCACACGCGCACTCACACTCACATGCAAATTCACACACGCACACACGCACATGCGCGCGCGCACACACACATACACACTCACAGTGCACACACACACACACTCACACTCCCTCAACTCCCTGCTGGGAGCAATGGCTGCTGACTCGGCAGCCCCGGTTCCCTGCCAGACCTAGTCAGCAGTCCCAGGACAGGCGCCAGTGGGATGCTGCCTCTTCCAAGCCCCAAACCTTCCCTTTTCACCAAAGACGAAACAGGCCAGAACCGGCAGGAGGGGAGACGGAGGGGTAAAAGCTCTCAAGGTGCAGAGCAAGACGTGTAGGAGAGAGTTTGAAGGCGAGGGCTGGAGAGAAAGAACAAAAGGAAAGAAGGGAGAGCCCCTCGCTGAGGCTGCCGGGAGGATGGGGCAGAGCGGGAGAGGAAGGCAGCCTGACTTCCCAGCTTTCCAGATGTGGAATAGGAGTGGAGGAGGGCAAGCGGATGACACTCAGGGGCTTCTAGAGGAGGCAAGTGGAAGTGGGCCTTGAAGGGTGATGTCAGGAGAGTCTGGAGAGAGAGAGAGAGAGAGAGAGAGAGAGAGAGAGAGAGAGAGAGAGGGCAGAGGCAGAGAGGGGCGGGCAAAGCACAGGGCACAGATGCAGAAATGGGCAGCCTGTTCTGGAGGCAGCTGTGAGCTTAGTGAGCCACCAGCACCTGCCCTGTGCAAGGCCGTGTGCTGAAGGCAGGCGGGCAGGCTGGTGGGCAGGCGGAGCAGACTGGTGGGCAGGCGCTGGTGGGCAGGCGGCGGGCAGGCGGGGCGGGCTCGTCGGGCCGAGGCTGGTGGGCAGGCGGAGCAGGCGGGAGGCGGGGCGGGCGCGGGCGGGCTGGTGGGCGGGGCGACGGGCGCGGGCGGGCGGGCTGAGGTGGGCAGGCTGGTGGGCGGCGGGCAGGCGGGCGGCTGGTGAGCCGGCGGGGCGGGCGGGCAGGCGGGCAGGCGGGGCGGAGCTGGTCGCGGGCTGGTGGGCAGGCGGAGCAGAGGCGGGCAGGCTGGTGGGCGGCCGAGGGCAGGCCCAGCCCTGAAAGCCCTCAGCACCAGTGAACATGGTTCAGGATGACCATCTCAGGCGGGCAGGCGGGCGGGCTGGTGGGCAGGCTGGTGGGCAGGCGGGCAGGCGGGCGGGCTGGCGGGCAGGCGGGCAGGTGGGCGGGCTGGTGGGCGGGCTGGTGGGCAGGCGGGCAGGCGGGCGGGCTGGTGGGCGGGCTGGTGGGCAGGCGGGCAGGCGGGCAGGCGGGCAGGCTGGTGGGCAGGCGGGCAGGCCCAGCCCTGAAAACCTCAGCACCCAGGCAGACATGGATTCCAGGACAGGCCATCTGAACCCAGAGGGCAGACACAACAATGGAAGCGGCACAGGGGTTTTGGGGCACGATGCTGAGTCTGGAGCTAAGAAAGCCTCCTTGGAAAGGCATCTGGGCTGAGATGCAAACGAAGAATGGAAATTAGGTGAAAAAAATCAGAGGCGAGGGGTAGCATTACAGGGGAGGGGATAGCTACTGCAGAGACCTGGAGGTAAAGTGGCAGACTCAGCTCTTTGGAGCAACCAAACAGTTTCTAGAGGCTGGGTGCAGCTCTCCATTGGATTAGAGGTTCAGAGGGAGGCTGGCCAAGCATGTAGTCACATCAGGGAGAAGGAGGAGCCAAGGAAGTAACTGGAGAGGCAGGTTGGGGTCAGATTGCAGGCCTTTGATGTCATGTGAAGGCTGTTAGATCCTGGCAGTGTGGCCTGCTGTGGGCTCTCATGTCTTCTTGGGCTGGCAGATCTTTCCGTCCGGGGTTTCACCATTCTTCCTTTCCCCATGCTGTGCCTCTCGGACCCCAAGGGACCTCAGAACAGCATGTCCGGATTCGAATCATCAAGAAGAAAAAGGTCATTATGAAGAAGCGGAAGAAGCTAACTCGCCCCACCTCCCTGGTGACTGCCAGGCCCCTTGTGACCCCCACTCCAGCAGGGACCCTCAACCCCGCTGAGAAACAAGAAACAGGTACTTCCTCTCCAGGGGCCCAGCCCAGACTTGCAGCCCCTAGGGCACTTTACCAACACAGCTCTTGGTCTCATGGGCACCGGCATGCCCCTTGCTTGCCTAGCACAGGAGCAAGCTTAAGCTCAGCTTCCCATCTTCCCTGGCTACCCTCCCTCTGGTCCTGTCTCACTGCTCTATCCCCGCCCCAGGCTGTGCTCCTTTGGGTCTGGAGTCCCTGCGAGTTTCAGATAGCCGGCTTGAGGCATCCAGCAGCCAGTCCTTTGGTCTTGGACCACACCGAGGACGGCTCAACATTCAGGTCAGTAATCCTGGCTCAGAGCCATGGTCTCAGGGTAGGGAAGGCAGCCCCTGGGAACGTCTCTCCTGCCTCCTGTCTGTCCTGGCCTGCCCTACTCTGTCCACCTGAGCCTGACCACCATGTCCTGTGTCTGCAGTCAGGCCTGGAGGACGGCGATCTATATGATGGAGGCTGGTGTGCTGAGGAGCAGGACACTGATCCGTGGTTTCAGGTGGACGCTGGGCACCCCACCCGCTTCTCGGGTGTTATCACACAGGGCAGGAACTCTGTCTGGAGGTGAGGCAGACTGACCCTAGGTCAGGAGGTCACAGAAGGACTGGGGTGGGAGTCCTGGGGGCACTGATGATCTCTCTCCACCTCTCCTGCCAGGTATGACTGGGTCACATCATACAAGGTCCAGTTTAGCAATGACAGTTGGACCTGGTGGGGAAGTAGGAACCACAGCAGTGGGATGGATGCGGTGAGTGGCCCCACTGCGACTGGGCCCTCCATACTGGGAGTTGGGCACCCAGTCCAGGCTAGGTTGAGGCTCCTCTGAGGACAAGGAATAGATGCCTGCTTGGGCTTCCAGGGGGGTGGGGCTTGTCAGGAGGGTGAAACACAGCTGGCACCATTGGGAGCCAGCTGCTTTAGGACATGCCCACATCCTCCCCAGATAATGCCACCACAGGGTGGGTGCTACTTCATGGTACAGCTTCCTCCTGGCATGCCCCTTCTGGCGCAGGGCCACTCGTCCACATCACTTCTTGCCTCCTCGTGGTTCTGACTTCCGTGTCTCACGGACCTCTTTTTACCCCAGCTACAATGTGGAGTCCTGGCCAGCTCTAGGATTGGTTTCCCCTGAGTCACGTGGCCAAACTGGTCTAATGAACTGTATCCAACCCAGAGAGCAGGGCTGCCTAGGGCTGCCCATTGGCAGAGGCTGCGGGCCGGGGTCTGTGTTTGATGCACAGTGCAAGTCTCTAGTTGAGCCCAGTAAGGTGGGGAAACAGTGAGCTTGGAGGCCTGAGCTCGTTCCCTGGGTCCTGGGTCAGGCTTCTGGGGTTTGAGCAGCCACAACAGAGAACTTGGCTGCCCCCAGGTATTTCCTGCCAATTCAGACCCAGAAACTCCAGTGCTGAACCTCCTGCCGGAGCCCCAGGTGGCCCGCTTCATTCGCCTGCTGCCCCAGACCTGGCTCCAGGGAGGCACACCTTGCCTCCGGGCAGAGATCCTGGCCTGCCCAGTCTCAGGTGGGCAGTCAGGCCAGGGCTGGTTGGGCAGGGCCTGGATGCAGGGTGCATCCTTCACTGTGGACACACCCTTTACCATAAACTCAACCTCCACCAGACCCCAATGACCTATTCCTTGAGGCCTCTGCACCGGGATCCTCTGACCCTCTAGACTTTCGGCATCACAATTACAAGGCTATGAGGAAGGTCAGATATAACCCCTATGACCTGGGAAGGAGGACCCACCCATCTCATGTCCCCTTCCCACCGGGGCATAACCTGCTGTGACTGTGCTTGTTTGCCTGCGCCGCCTCCTGATGACTCAACCTTCTCTCCTGTGGACCCCTAAGCTCTGTCCCACTTTCCCTTATTATGGTGCCTCCCCTGTCCTGCCCCTTCCTCCCGGCTCTGCGGCCGCTCCCTCCTGTGCCATGATGGGATGCCCCCTCTGTGCCCTCGCTGACTTTTTAAGTCTTTCCATGGCACACGTGATCTGCCCCGGGCATACCCCTCCCATGCCTCATGCCATGCTACACTGTGCCCGCCAGCTGATGAAGCAGGTCCACGAGCAATGCCCCAACATCACCCGCATCTACAGCATCGGGAAGAGCTACCAGGGCCTGAAGCTGTATGTGATGGAAATGTCGGACCAGCCTGGGGAGCATGAGCTGGGTACTGGCAAGGGGAGTGGGGAGAGGTAGGCACAGGGCAGGGCCCCAGGCATGAGCCCGCTGCAAGCCCCCATGTGTCCCCAGGGGAGCCTGAGGTACGCTACGTGGCCGGCATGCATGGGAATGAGGCCCTGGGGCGGGAGTTGCTTCTGCTCCTGATGCAGTTCCTGTGCCATGAGTTCCTGCGAGGGAACCCACGGGTGACCCGGCTGCTCACTGAGATGCGCATTCACCTGCTGCCCTCCATGAACCCTGATGGCTATGAGATCGCCTACCACCGGGTAGGCCACCCAGCATGAGGGTCACTCTGTCCTTCTGCCCTGGTGCCTGGACCTGCTCGGCTTGAACAAGTCGCTTCCCTGGCAGGGCTCAGAGCTGGTGGGCTGGGCTGAGGGCCGCTGGAACAACCAGAGTATCGACCTTAACCATAATTTTGCTGACCTCAACACACCACTGTGGGAAGCACAGGACGATGGGAAGGTGCCCCACATCGTCCCCAACCATCACCTGCCATTGCCTACTTACTACACCCTGCCCAATGCCACCGTGAGTATTCTGAAGGCAGCAGTGGAGGGCTGTGGGGGGCGGACCTTGTCTCTGTCTCCTGCCCCTCCTGACCTGCCCATCCAGGTGGCTCCTGAAACACGGGCAGTAATCAAGTGGATGAAGCGGATCCCCTTTGTGCTAAGTGCCAACCTCCACGGCGGGGAGCTCGTGGTGTCTTACCCATTCGACATGACTCGCACCCCGTGGGCTGCCCGCGAACTCACACCCACACCAGATGATGCTGTGTTTCGCTGGCTCAGCACTGTCTATGCTGGCAGTAATCTGGCCATGCAGGACACCAGCCGCCGCCCCTGCCACAGCCAGGACTTCTCCGTGCACGGCAACATCATCAACGGGGCTGACTGGCACACAGTCCCCGGGAGTATGTGCCTGAGGGTGGAGTTAGCCCTGGCCCCGCAGCCCCTGCCCAGATAAGACAGCCTGCGGTTGCGTACAGTGCTGGCATCAGTTACCACCCTGAAGTGTCCCTCAGAGAAGGGAGGGTAGCGGGAAGATGGGACTGCATCCTGCCTGCTTAGGCACCAGTGTCTGTGGTACCCTTAGGCATGAATGACTTCAGCTACCTACACACCAACTGCTTTGAGGTCACTGTGGAGCTGTCCTGTGACAAGTTCCCTCATGAGAATGAACTGCCCCAGGAGTGGGAGAACAACAAAGACGCCCTCCTCACCTACCTGGAGCAGGTCGGCTCTGCGTCCCAGTCCCCAGCCTGCCTGAATCACTCCTGCTGTCCATTTAGCCTACAGCTCCTACCAGGTGTTCTTCTAAGGTCCAGCTGAGCATTCAGACACAAGATGCCATGGGCCATGCTTGGTATCAGATTGTCTCAGAAGCACACAGGACAGGAAGTGCAGTTGGCTGGCAGCGTGGCACCGTGTTAGAGCCGGTGGGAGGAGCCTCCATTGCAGTCTAGGTGGTGGTCCATGGCGCTGCCCCAGAGCTGTCCTCAGGAGAGACTCATGTGAGTCAGGTGCAGGAGCTGTCCTGGCATAGAAGCTTCATGTTCCATGGAGCTCATAATCCTTGTAATGGCTCCATAAGCAGAGCTTCCAAAGCTTCTACCAAAGACAAGCCTAATAACCTGGGAAAGCCCAAGGATAGATAAGCCTTCCTACCAGGTATTTATCATTCTTAGTCCAGATGTGATTTATCAATCAAGATTTCTTTTTTTTCCCAGAAGTATTGTCACCTAGGCACATAGTAGACCTACCACTTTGATCAGGTTTGCAGGGCAACAGAGCCAGCAAGTTAACTAAATGTCACGTTCTCCTGCAGAAGGGGAAGGGCTCTGATAACCTTTTCCCACACAGGTGCGCATGGGCATTGCAGGAGTGGTGCGGGACAAGGACACGGAGCTTGGGATTGCTGATGCTGTCATTGCCGTGGATGGGATTAACCATGATGTGACAACGGGTGTGTTTGACTGGGAGGGCAAGGGAAGGGGCTGGAGGGCTGGAGGCCCAGGAAGAAGCAAAGGATCATTGATTGGGTCCTGATCATGTCCTTCACTCTCCTCAGCGTGGGGCGGGGATTATTGGCGTCTGCTGACCCCAGGGGACTACATGGTGACTGCCAGTGCCGAGGGCTACCATTCAGTGACACGGAACTGTCGGGTCACCTTTGAAGAGGGCCCCTTCCCCTGCAACTTCGTGCTCACCAAGACTCCCAAACAGAGACTGCGCGAGCTGCTGGCAGCTGGGGCCAAGGTGCCCCCGGACCTTCGCAGGCGCCTGGAGCGGCTAAGGGGACAGAAGGATTGATACCTGCAGTTTAAGAGCCCTAGGGCAGGCTGGACCTGTCAAGATGGGAAGGGGAAGAGTAGAGAGGGAGGGACAAAGTGAGGAAAAGGTGCTCATTAAAGCTACCGGGCACCTTAGCTCATCTTTGTGTTGTCTCTATGCCCCAGGTCCTCCCCCTGGGACAGGCCTCAGTTCCTATTCTGCACACTTGCACTCTCATCCGTTGGCTTCTGGACACATTGTGTGAAAAGAGGATCCCACCTGGGCTCTTCTTGAACCAAGGACCTGGCAGAGCAACTCATTTCTGCCGATCAGCTTCTGCTACAGGTACCATTATGGTGCTGCCAGGCATTCTGTAAGCGCCTGCTCATTGCCAGGTGTGCAAGGAATCAGGATCAGCAGTGCCTGCACTCAAACTCCTGGGGCTCCTAGTCAAGGGAAAGGACAGTTCAGTATATTATGAGGCATGCTAGGGTGGAGGCCAGGTGCCGTGGGAGTGCAGGGGAGCTGCACACGTGAAATACAGCACTGCAGATCAACAGGACTCGTCAGTCAAGGATGCAGTAGAGGTAGTGGCTCTAGAAGTTCAGGCGGGAGTTGGGCAGGGTGTGGAGTATGGATAGGGATGGCTCCAAGGAGGAGGGTCGGCCAGAGGTGGGTCAGCTGAGAACATTTGAATTTGCTTCAGCCATTCTCAGACTATTCATAGCTGATAGGCTTTGATGAGTTTCTATCAGACTGAAGGGGAAGTTGTGTATCAGTCTGTGTCTTGCCAGGTAAACGACCCATTCTAGGCATTTAATGTGGAGGGAAATTTAATGCTGGAAATTGGGTAGGAAGGTGTTGGAAGAGCTGAATGAGGCCAGGTGTGGTGGCTCACACCTATAATCCCAGCACTTTGGGAGGCTGAGGTGGGAGGATTGCTTGAGCCCAGGAGTTTGAGACCAGCCTGGATAACAGCAAGACCCCACCTCTACAAAAATAAAAAACAAGAAACATAGCCAGGTGTAGTGGCACATGGCTGAGGGAGGCTGAGGTGGGAGGATCACTGGAGCCCAGGAAGTGGAGGCTGCAGAGGCAGCAGTGAGCCATGATGGGGCCACTGTATTCCAACCTGGGTGACAATAACAAACAAAAAAGAGCTGGATGAAAAAAAGGAAGGGAATTTTACCCAGAAATCAGGATAGCACCCTTGGTCTGGTGTTTATAACCTGTATTTGCTGATGGTGCTGGAGCTTATAATCACTCGTAACTACTTGCAACCACAAGCAATTACCTGCCATGGCTAGAGCCAGAAACAGGATGATTTCTCATTTCCTCCCACTTTCTAGTCCCTGACCTATGAAGTTCACTGACAAAATCTAACAGTAACTCAGCTGACAAGGAAGCCTACAAAATGTAGTCTCCCAACCCCCTTGTCATTCAGAGTAGAGCTTCCAGGGACAGGAATGGGGCAAATACTAATAGGCAAAATCTGGCATAAAGACATCATGCAGCCTTTTGCCATGTAAGTTCTGCCTACTACTTGGCTCTCGCACTGTTTCTTGAGATGTCTCTGTCTCTCCCACACATAGTGAGTATCCATTAATCACCATGAAGGATCTAGTGCCAAATTTCCCTGCACCTTTTTTCCTTACCTCCACTTATATAGTGTCATTTTTCAAAAACAGATTTTTAATTCATTGAAGTTTATCATATATAATGAAAAGTGCATATACGTTCACAGCCATATAAATGTACACAGACAGAGCACACTCAGGCACCCATAACCCAGGTTTAAAAATCCCCAATACTACCAGTACTCCAAAATTCTCCCCATGTGTACCCTTCCAGTCAATACCCCCGTCTGTCAAGGGTAACCACTATCCTCACATCTAACATCATAGTTTAACTTTGCCTGCTTTTTTTGTCTAGGATTTCTTGTTTTTGTACTCTTGAGTTTGTTCTACAGTTGCTTGGATTCTATTTTGGTTTCACTGGATATGACTTCTTAGGTGTAGATGATAGAATCCACTCTAAATAGCACTCTAAATAAGCAGAAAGGGATTGATTAAAGGGTCTTAGGAAGGTCACACACTCTCCAGGAAGGCTGGAAACCAGACTTGGATGCTCCATAACCAGAAATGTTATAGTCAATGTCAACAAAGGCAATAGGGAATCCCCAACCATGTATGTCATGGGAATGTTCCTAGAGAAATAATCACTTCACCATTGCTTTATATTTGGCAACTAAGATACTGGGGACTAGATGCCAGAACATTTCATATTTGTACCGAAGAAACCATACAGCTCCATTACCGTGACTGCCAGAAAATCTGATCTCCCTGAATGTGGTTGCCACCTCCTTTTGCCCATTCTTAGCTCCAAGTCTAGGGCCAGTGCATCTGTTTGACAGGACCTAGGTTACACGAGGAATGCCAGATAGAAAAGAAGCTGGGATATTTAGGTTTTAGCTTTCCAGCCTCTACATTATAGGAAGTCAAGCCAAAGAAAGGTTAAAATGAAGATGTTAAATGGGCCAGTCGCTCGCTCTCTTTCTTTCTCTCTCTCTGTTTCTTTCTTTCTCTTTGTTTTCTTTCTTTCTTTCTTTCTTTTCTTTCTTTCCTTCCTTCCTTCCTTTTCTTTCTTTCTTCTTTCTTTCTTTCTTTTTCTTTCTTTCTCCCTTTCTTTCTTTCTTCCTTTCCTTTCCTTTCCTTTCCTCTCCTCTCCTCTCCTTTCTTTTCTTTTCTTTCTTTTTTCCCTCTCTCTCTCTCTCTTTCTCTTCTTTCTCTTCTTTTTTCTTTTTCTGAGAGAGTCTAGCTCTGTCACCTAGGCTGGAGCACAGTGGTGTAATCTCAGTTCACTGCAACCTCCACCTCCTGGGTTCAGACAATTCTCCTGTCTCAGCCTCCAGAGTAGCTGGGATTACAGGCGTGTGCCACCACGCCCAGCTACTTTTTGTATTTTTAGTGGATACAGGGTTTCACCATGTTGGCCAGGCTGAAACCCTGACCTCAGGTGCTTGCCCGCATTGGCTTCCCAAAGTGCTGGGATTACAGGTGTGAGCCTCCGTGCCTGGCTGGTCAGCCTATATCATCTGAAATATTGTAGAATACCCATAAGTAGGATCACAGTATTGGACAACTTTAGGGAATACTGTTTGTAAAATGAACAGAAAATTTTATATTGGTCAATCTGTTACATGTGACACATAATTTTTTAAATGAACCAAGAATTTTATATCAGTCAACTTGTTACTCAATTGTCATACAAATAATTTTTTAAGTACAATAAACATCACATCAAAAATCAAGGAAATGAGGCAGCAGTAACAAATAGGAGATCTAGACCTACAAAAATTTAATAAATTTGATTCACCAGTTACAGATTATAAGATAACTATGTTCACATTGTGTAAAATAAAAGTCATACAAGATGCCTCCTCAGATTAGAGGGAAAAAAAGCATTAAAATGAGCTATTTGGGTCAGGCGCTGTGGCTTGCGCCTGTAATCTCAGCACTTTGGGAGGTTGAGGCAGGCAGATCACCTGAGGTCAGGAGTTCAAGACCAGCCTGGCTAACATGGTGAAACCCTGTCTCTACTAAAAATACAAAAATTAACCAGGTGTGGTGGCAGGTGCCTGTAATCCAAGCTACTCATGAGGCTGAGGCAGGAGAATTGCTTGAACCCTGGAGGTGGAGTTTGCAGTCAGCCTGGGTGACAGAGCGAGACTCCCATCTCAAAAAATATGTATCTGTATTTATATCTATATATCTATATCTATATAACCTAACGATTTCTACAAATAAAAATATAATAACCTAAACTAAAAACTGAATGGGTGTGTATAATAGTGGGTTAGACAGTTAAAGAGAGAATTAATGAACTGGAAGTTAGGTCAGAAGAGAATATCCTTTCTGGGAAATGGACAGAGAGATATAGAGGAAAATGTGGAAAGAGATAAAAGATATTGAAGAGATGGTAAGAGACATGGAAGAAAAACTGACAAGTGAAGAGAGGAAGAATGGTGAAAGGCAGCTTTTTTTTTTTTTTTTTTTGAGACAGGGCCGGGCCTCTCTCCCACACAGTGCAGGCATCAAAGCTCACTGCAACCTGCACCTCCTGGACTCAAGCATCCTCCCACCTCACCCTCCTGAGTAGCTGGGTCTGCAGGCATGCACCACCATGCCCAGCTAAGTTTTGTACTTTTTGTAGAGACAGGGTCTCCCTATGTTGCACAGGCTGGTCTCAAACTCCTGGGTTCAAGTGGTCCTCCTGCTTCAGCCTCTCAAAGTGTTGAGATTACAGGCATTAGCCACCACCAAACTCAAGAGCAATTTTTTATTTTTTATTTTTGAGACAGAGTCTTGCTCTGTCACACAGGATGGAGTGCAGTGGTGTGATCACTGCCCATTGCAGGCAGCCTCAACCTCCTGGACTCAAGTGATCCTTCCACCTCAGCCTCCCAAATAGTTGGGACTGCAGGCATGTACCACCATGCCCAGCTAATTTTTGCATTTTTTGTAGAGACAGTGTTTTGCCACGTTTCCCAGGCTAGTCTTGAAATCCTGAGTTCAAGAGATCCTCCCACCTCGGCCTCCCAAAGTGCTGGCATTACAGGCGTGAGCCACCATGCCCAGTCCAAGAGCAATTTTTGAAGAGACGCTATCAGAATTTTTCAGAACTGATGAAAGACACCAATTCACAGGTACACGAATCTTGACAAACCCCAAGAAGAATAAATAACCCAATATAATAATGGGTAAAAGATGTGAACATGCATTTCACAAAAGAAACAGTTCAGCATGACTGAAGTGGCATGTGAGCTCGCCAAGTGATGTCCAAGCTCTGGATTCTCCTCATTTACAGTTAAGACATTTCTATGGCCAGAAATTTCCATGGGTTGTTGCTAGTTTTCCAGGTGGCCCCGCCCTCTCTTGCCTTCATAAATATGTAGAGTGTCATGAGAAGGGGTTCACTCTGCTGGAACTCTTTCAGCAGTGAGTTTAGCCCTGCCTGACCTAAGCAAGCTTCCTTTTGGATAAAGGGAATTTGGGGCATCATATACATTTTTTTCAACTCTTTGCCTGGAAGTTTCCTCCAGTAAACCCTTAACCTGTGTCTGTACCACATGTCGTTAGAGGTATTTGCTCTTGCATTCCA